AAATTCAAGCAGAGAGAGAGAGACAGAGACAGAGACAGAGACAGAGAGAGGGAGAATATTGTAGGTTAGTAGGTTGGTATCAGGTCAAATCAATGCTGCAGGTTAAGGGAAAATAACAAAACTAGGAAGAAATCAGTGGCATAAAATTGCATTCCTGTTACTAACAATACTTTCTTTTTCTTTGGAGCTTGGTCAGTGAGGTGAACAGTGGGGGGGAAAATAAAGGACCTTGAGCTAAATAAGATGCTTGATGGTGTTGCCTCATTTATTTATGTATTCATTAACCACTTAGAAATACCTAATAATAATTACTATTCGATGTTGAGAGCTTACTATGTGCCAGATGCTTTATCTCTAAGTGTTATGAATACTGTCAATCTCAGTTGAATGATAAAGAAATTGAGATTTACAGATGTTAAGTTACTTGTCTCTACTCTTACAGTTGGTTTGTGCTCCAATTAGGGTTTGGGTGCAAGTTTAACTGATTTTAATTCTGCACATTTTCCTACAGTGTTGTGCTAGGCAGTAAGAATAAGGAAATTTTGCTCAAATTCTAACAGGAAGGAAAGCATAAGATGTTCTTTTTAAAACTGTGTTGGTATGGAAAAGAAGCAAAGACCTCTTAAATCTGGCTTATAAATCATGGGGACACGATATTAGGTATGATTCTCATGTTATACTCAACTTCATCATAATGCAATATGTATTCAAAATTCTTGTTCAAATTCACAGATATACGCATAAAAAGAGATTCAAATCAATGGATCACTCTATACATGAATCAAAGTCTTGCAATCAATCAAAGCAGAAAGAAGTAATCTAGAATAATGATTTCTGGTCATTTTTACCACTATTGAAATATTTAAAGCTCAAAAAGAATAACTGGTGGTATGTCTGAAACTATATTCACTGATCCAAAAAATACTTTATTTCTCCTTTATTCAGTTGTTAACAGGTGACTTTGTGTTAATTGCTATAAAACCTGGAATTACAAGGAAGGAGAAATAAGACACTATATTTGGTTTCTATTTAATGGTTACATTAAAATCATAGTCCTTTTTTATTTTTATATTCGGAGAAGTTGAGGCACAGAGACAAAGTTAATGATATACCTAAGGTCATATAACTATTAGATGTCTGAAGCTAAGTTTAAGTACATATATACTTAACAAAAAAGAATAAGCTATTTTTAGTATACTGTAGAGCTCCTTTAAAGGGGATACATATTCAACCCCTTCAATAAGAGTGAAAAAGATAAACAAAAATAATAGAGACATAGGAAGTCAAAGAATAAAGAACTATATGAAAGATCATTTTCCTCTTTCGTGGTCCTCTCTGGATCTCTATATCCGTTCTGTGAAATTCAATATCAGAGGTCATTACCAGCATGACGAGATGCAATTTGAATAATAATAATTTAAATTAGCTTAAATTAAGGATGTCACAAAGAATACTCCTAATTTTGACTGCAAACATAAATTTCCCAATGTATGGAAGCAATGGATAGATTTTGAGGATATCTTTGGCTACTCTTTAAAACAGCCATCTATTCATTAAAAAAAATAGCCATCTATTGCAATAAAATAGTCACCAAACATATGCATTTTAAAAAATCTTTTACATTAAAACTTATTGTATAGGGGCACCTGGGTGGCTCAGTCAGTTAAGGGGCTGCCTTTGGCTCAGATCATGATCCCACAGTCCTGGGATCCAGCCCCAGGATTTATCTCTCTTGTTGACTAGGACTCCCTAATCAGCAGGGAGTCTGCTTCTCCCTCTCCTTCTGACTTTCTCCCTGCTTGTACTCACTCTCTCTCTCTCAAATAAATAAATAAAATCTTAAAAAAAATATTGTATACATCCTTTATTAGGCATATGGTCTGGGGTAAGAAAAAGCATATATTTTCTCTTTTGCATTAGCTTCCTTGACAGTAGACAAGATACACACTCCATTTTGTCCTGATTGCTAGGAACCTTAGAACTAATTGTTGGGCTTTTGTCTTTTATTATCTTTGTTTGTGTGTGTTTATATGTGGGTGCATATATTTTTATTCTAATATACCACAAATAATTTTTAGCACTTAGCTTGGTACAAACAAACATACAAAATAAAGATGTGAGAAATATTTTGGTTTTATAGCAGATGCTCATTTTAAAAATATTCTTTGGTAATACGATTTATTAAAAATGTCTTAAGACAGACCCCTTTTTCCTCTCTTAGTAATTGATATCATTAACTCAAGTTTATATTAATTTCTTTTTATATTATTATTTTTCTTCTTTCTCCTTTTAAGAAATTTTCACCTCTTTAGCAACTTTGTTTATTAAAAAAAAATGGAGATATTTTACTGTGTGACCCTAAGGGATATTTTAGTGTCATCATTAAACTTGACAATGAACTAAGTTAGCATGCCTTGCTGAGGCACCATAGTTGCAATTAATCTTAAGTAGAATGTATATGGTGGTTTCAGTTTAGTTCTTAATGGGCTATACTGTACATAATAAAATTACCACAGATAATTGATGAGTAGTGTTTAATTAGCAGATGACAGCCTAATTTTAAAGACTACAATATCTAATTTCTCAAAGACATAATGATTCTTGAGAAAAATATACAAAGCATAGGAAAAATAGAACGTGGTATACTTATTTAGACTATTTAAGCACAGACCACAAGGGCAAATGGAGGGGAGGCTATTGACATTTGAAGTGCTCATGGACAGTAGTAGTTGAGAGCAAATTAGGGGTCTGGCCGCCTGGTCTCAACACCTATCTTCTCTATCTTAGCTCTGTTGCCCATAGAGCAGAACCTAAAGCAAAGTTCTCAGTGCCTTCCATTAATTCACTCAAAAATGACATGAGGAAAAAGAGACATAAAAGAGGCAGAGCAAGTAAAAGAATGTGTTATTAAGCTGGCCATCACTTAGTATCAAGCATGAATTCAAACTCATGAGATTATCATCCAAAAGATAAACTTCTCTCAGGATGTTTATTCTCAGGTTTGGAATAGAATTTATCCTCTGGCTCCCATCTATTAATGATCAAATTTCACCTACTAGATTGTGATTTCATTTGCATTTCTGGGTTCCATATGTAGTGGTCCAGAATAGACCCACACATCATTCTTCAGGGAATAGGAGAGCGCCAAAGTAGGAGATAAATGGTTTTCAGATTATCCATGGGATAAAACACTATTGGGTTATACCTGATGAAGATGGCTGGAGTCCACACACAATGGATTATCAGACTAGTGGTTCAATCTGGAGCAAAGAGTCAAAGTTTCCAGAGTTAGTGAGGTTGAGACAATCTCCAATAACACATGACAAGTGTCTGTTTGATTAGTTATCAGATCTATTGATGCTTTCCTTAATATCCAGCTACTGAATATAATATGGCACCTCCATATTTGTAGAATCTCACCCAAGAGGTGAGATACATTCCCAAGAGGTGAGATATATTTCTAATCAGTCATGAAATTTCATTTAGGAGCAATATTTCCTTTAAGCCAGTTCAACTGTGAAGCAGGCCTCATTTTATTTTTATATCAATTGTCGACAGGAAATACTCTCAGAAGGCCATAGGTATTACCCTGAAGGAGAATGTCAATGCAATTGAGGTTAATGATATGGACGTTCTAGCCACCTGTTCATCTGATTTTCTCATGCTTTCTAGATCTCCTCAGATCAAATCTCATATACCATTTGTATTGTACAATGGGTTACTACTTTACACTTCCAAACTTATGACTCAACAGGTTTAATAACACCCAAGTTAGGATGAGAAAATGTGGTTACATAGGCATCTGGTATCCCATGGTCAGGATCTTTCCATACTAGGACCTAGTGGAATATTAGAATTCATTTTTTTCAATGAAAATTAATTTGTTGGCTGTAGAAAGCTTGACTTTGCTCAGCAGTCCATGATTCTACACATCAATTTTTCTTACGTGGACTTGCCAGAGATTCACTACAGCATTTAAAATATACCATAGATACCTCTAGCACTATCAGATCTTCTGGGTCACATGCTTTGAGTGATAGAGCAGTTTGCACCACAGTCTTGACTTTGCAGAAAACTTTCTTGCTGTTAGTCCTGCTAAAAACTGTTGTTTTATGAGTCATTCAATAAATGGATCATAACAGTATTTTGAAGTATAAGCTGCCTCAAAAAATCCAAAGAGGCCCACCAAGTACTGTAAGTTAGAAATGTGAGGTACATTAAATTTTTATTCATCTTAAAAAAAATTATTCATCTTAGAAAACATGTTAAAGTTGACTTGAACCCTCTAAAATATTTACTGATATGGCAGGCCCTTGCATCTTCAACAGGATTTTTTCTTCACTCTCTGGCATTCTGATATCTTCCTAGGGCTTATAGAACACTCCTTATTTCCTGATTTTGGGTCCAATTAGCATGATAATTGGACCCAAATAATTATAATAATTATAATAACCCAACATGATGTTTTGCAGAATAACAAGAGCATATCATGAGCATGAGAAGTAACAGCCCTCCCCCCAACAAGTGGTGAATGCTGTCCCTATCATGCCGTCCCTACTATGTGATGGCAAACTAGTTTTGGTCTTCCTTTCTGTTGGAATCAAGAAGAATGTAATTGCCAGATAGATTCATGTGTGCCAAGTGCCAGGAGAAAGTAGTATTGCAACAATAAATATAACATATTAAGCATGCAGTTGCAGTTGGATCTGTATCTTACATAAGTGTGAGGTAGCAATTCCATAGCCATCTATCAGTCTGGATCAATTTTTTTTGATTGACTTTTTTCTAACAGTCGTAGCAGATGAATTGAATGGGAACATCATAGGAGCCATTACTCCTGTTTTCCTTAGGTATTTGATGGTGATGCTTATCATTATAATTCCTGCAATATGGTATTGATTTTATATAATCTCTAAGATAGAGGAGAGCTTTTAGGGTTTTTCTTTTTGTTTGTTTTTTGTTTTATTTTTAGGGGGGAAGGTTTTTTTGGGTTTTATTGTCTTTATATGAGGGGCTTCAAAAATTTGCATGTCTTCCTTGTGCAGGGGCCATGTTAATCTCTGTAAAATCCCAATATGAGTAGATATGCTGCAGAAGTAAGCACAGGTTTGTTTTGACCATAGTGGTTCTTACTCCACAGGTCATAGATCTATGTGAGGATTCTATCAGGTGTCAAGTATATCAGAATTCGACTATCCACCTGGGGACCAGGGAAATAACTGCAGTTTAGTTGTATGGACATGTTAGATACATTGCATTGTGACACAGTCTTGGGCCAACACTCTATCTATCATTATGCACCCAAGGACTCTACTCATGGTATTTCAGTTCCTCCATTACCAGTCTCAGTTCAGAATCTTTATTTGTCAATCCTTAATTTCTGTTTCCAGCTATACAGTTTGCTGCTATTGGCCACAAGTCCTTTTTGGAAAAGATCAGAGAAGTATTTATCTAACTTACTTGCAATAATATGACAAAGTTCATTCTCAAGGGCACCTGGATTTCCCTTCAACCAATGGCTTCTTGGTCTGTGAACTGACTTAAGTCTGGAATTTTTGTGAAAGAACCACAGCTTTCCATTTTAATGGCTAATGCCAATTATCAGTTCATAAGCTGGTCTTTTTGTTGTTGTTATAGTTATATAGATCAAGAAACACACTACTCCACTTATCTATCTTTGCTCTAGGACACTATGATCTATTTGCCATCATCACAGATATGTATACCAAGACACCCTGATTTCTACTATAGCCATGTTAGCTATTAGAGTATTTAAATCTATCTTGCTTATGAACATTAAGTGCTTCCACCTATAATTTTCCAATCCAGAATCCAATTATTTCTACTTACCCTGCAGAGCACACTTCCATGGCATCATCTTCCATTGCCATTCAATCCTACAGAGGACAGGAAACATTAAGTTGGTTTATCCTTTACGTCTTAGCAGTATTTCTACATTGCATCATCCCACTAAAGGAAATGGCCTCTCAGAATATTATGGGAAAATAGTTTGACGTTACATTCTCAAGTTGTACGTAAAAATCCATCCTAACATCTCTATTTCCTTGAGTATTTCTTTCTCCCTTCATATTTTGGCAAGGAAGTACTACTAACACTCTCACCTCATTTACTGTAGGCTAGGATTGTACCCAAGCTTCAAAGAATCACGCAACAGAAACTGAGGACTAACTCTACTTTTTGTATTGACTCATTTTAGGAATGAGTGGCTCAAATTCAATAAATTCTCCCACATTTAATAAATTCTCCCCAGCTCTTACCAGTGCTGGTCAATGCCTCATGGCTGAATCTCTGAGCAGTATCTTGGGCCACAGACAGCTGCCTCAAGAAGTTTTTCTTCCACTAGAGGTCAGTCCATTTAAAAACTGTTCTATGAATTAATTCAAAGGCCCTTTCCCTGGATTCAATTTCAGACAACTTTGATGGTCCAGAACTCTTTATTGGATTGACTGAGACCCCTTCTTCAACTGCATCACAGTACTTCACTTTCTCCCTTTGCCCAATCCTGTTCTCACTAGATAACCAGTGATATTTCCAAGAGCACTCTTCAATAAAAGCTTGCATGCAAGTCTTGATTTCAGTGTCTGTTTCCCAGGGAAGTTAACCAATGCCAAACTTAATATTTTACAGTGATGTTCTGACACTTTTAGGATCTACTACCACAATTATCCCACATCTATCCTGTACATATTAATCAGGTCCCACAATTCCAATTAAATGACTTTGTCCTGGAGAGAGTACTAAAGTCGCTTGCTTTGTAAGGGGCCTGGAAATAACTGTTGACTGGGCAGCTACTGAAGAGCACAAGCAATATTTGGGATGCATTTGCTTCCATGAGGTTTTCACATGTACTTCAAGCTAGAAAAACTGCTCTCTTCTGTCAAGGGGGAGAAACTCTCTCCGCTTTTGTTCAGGAAAACATGGAGTTCAAAATTCTCAGTTCTGTCCAAAAAAAAGTCCCCATCTCAATTCTCAAAATCTTGCTCTTTTCCAACTGCAATCCTGAACTACATAGACAAGATCTCTCAAGGCAACGTATTTGGTCTCCGTCATATTTCTTTCACATTTAAAATTAAATCTTGGGTCTGATTTTCTGCAAAGTGCCCTGTACCCATAGATGTTAAGGCTCTGCATAAATGAAGCCAGAGGCCCTCTGGTTGTCACAGAATGCCTCGAGTTGGCAACTGACTGCTCTTAGCCTATAATTTTCTTTCAAAGATTCCAGTATCATTAACAAAAGCAGCCCAGTCCACAGGCCTGTAATTATCATTGTCCAATACCATATAAGCACGTAGCCACTGCAAATCCTGAGGTTTTATCTTCCACCTGCACCTTAGCCCAGTTAACCACAAGGGGAAGCCATAGTAATTGTGATATCATGGTATGCCAGAGCTAATCACCAGCCTCTGTAATACTAGCAAAAGAATCCCTATTACAATGGGACTGGTCAGTAATGCAGCTTTAATAAATTATCCTAAGGGTCCACTTTCTAGGGCCATTGCTGATATCAACTGTCTTAGACTGTTTCTTAGAAACAGAGCCTGAAGCAAAGACTTATGTGTTGATGCTTTATTCAAGAGTATGATCTTTGGGAGCAGGAGTGAGGGCAAAGAAAAGTGAGACAGGGAAAAAGAGAGAACTGATACAGGGGTGAAATCTCAAACTAATCACTATGTAGTATTCAGTGTGATTGATTGCTTTATCTCTTGGGACTATTTTCCAAGAGGGCTTATTCTTGACTACTCCTCAGGACAGGCTATGCATGGGAGAGGAATGGAGAAAAATGTATTCTCTTCTTGCTACTGTCTTCTGTTGGTCAAAGCTTTACCTTCAGGGTTGTAATTTCTTCCCACTCCTAGTTTGCTTTGGTTTAGGCACCAGATGCCCCTCTGGAGTCTTATGTCTCACATTAACAGGAAGTCTGGGAAAAGGACAATACTTATGCATTGAGTCTATGAGGAGAAAAACAATACTGTAGCCTTTTGAATTTGGCCAGAATCCACACAAAGGGGATTTTTGTGGCTGTGCCTGAGGGTGAAAAATTACCCAAATGCCTTTGGAATAGGTAAAGCAAAGAAGATATGAAAGAACATTTAAATGCCACCTGATAAAACTACTAACTTTGTGACTTTTTACTTTGTACCTTTGACTCAATTGTTTCCTCTGTAACATGGAACTGATAATTGTACTATTTTAATTGGTTGCTCTATGAATAATAAGATATCTTATTTATAAATTTTTTTTTACAATTCTTGGACCACACATTATTAACTATTGTTGCTATTTCTATGAAGGAAAATTCTGGCAACCTAAAGGAAAACTTGAAATACCTCTAGTTATTATTTAATCCTTTTGTAAAAACACTATGCATATAGAGTACCATAAAATACTTGCTAAAGAATTTGGGGTATTTTATGTCATGAAGCAGTGAATGAGGGAAATGCTCATTAAATGCTGAGCCTGAATTGAGTTTCTTATTTTTACTTAAAAATAGAGATAACCAAATTGCTACATAACTAATATAAAGGGAAAGAACATTTTTCCCTTCTTTCACCATTTCTGTAGAAATAGAAAAACCCAATCATACCTCTTTCTAGATGCAGTTTGTACTAAATATGATTGTAGACTAGTATATTTGGAGACTCTTTCTAAATTAAGACACCTACTCATATATACATATTAGAGATCAGGTGATCAGAGATCATACTGCATATCAAGATCTGATATGCAGTATGTATTCCTTCTCCTGTCAGCAACTTAGTATACTCTTGAGAAACATCTGTCTCATTACATGGTTAAATTATTTAGGAAATCTAACCTCATCCTTGGATCCGGGGGTGGGGGAGGAGGGGATGTGATGCTGCTCTAGCCAATCCACACATTCAATTTCTCATAGTGAATGAGTATCTTTTCTCGGCCTTTTGGCTAAGATCAAGTGTAGCCTCATAATGATTGACTCAGAAAGACTTACATCACCTAAAGCAATTCAATAAAGACCAATCTCAGTATCTGTTGGAGACATGAGTATCAGGGTTACTGAGAATGTAAATATGAACTTGAAGTTACTATCTACATACTTCCTCTTTGTTTGGAATTTCTGTCTGAATGATGGTAACAGAGTAAATGCAGATTGAAATTATGGCAAAAAGGAAAAAAATGAGGAGGTGAATTTTTATGACAATGTTTAAAGCTTGGTTCCAAACATACCTAGAGCTTGTATTATTCTTAGACTGTTCGGTTATCAATACTACAATCAATGCTACTCATACTACTTTGATTTAGTCTTCTGCTATCTGCTATCCAGTGTATATCGGTTCACTATTTGTATATTTTGGTTTGTTAGTTGTAGTGTATGTAGCTATTGGGAGGATGTTAACATTGGGAGACATTAGATGTGGGGTATGTAGGAATTCACTGCATTATCTTTACAATTTTTCTTTAAATCTAGAACTATTATAAAATAGAAAGTTTATTTTTAAAGGTATCCTACATAATACAAATCTGGTTTGTTATGTCACTACCCAAGGTTAAGTGGATCCTCTTGCTAATAAATCTGCACTTAAGTCAAAAAGATGAAGGACATGCATTTCTCTAATATTCACAGTTGGGGAATATTTGCTCCCTGGACCCTGTAGAGATAAAAATTTCAAAACATACTCTATATGGTCAATTTTGGGCAAAAAATTTCAGTAAAGAGGAGATGAAAGAGAATGAAAAACATAATATTTGAATCGTTCTGATTTATGGTCTAGTAAACAATGGTTAGCTTTCTATCTAGATTTTCTAGTCATTTTAATGTCTGCTCTATTTACACAGTAGAATACTATAACTAAATGGAGGATCCTTATTTTGTTTTCTCTGTCAATCTTGTATCAATCAAGGCTCTATTTTTAACGTGGCATTTTCTTATTTGTACTGCAAATTTATATACTTTTTCCCTCAGAGTATTTTTTAAGATGATTGTATATTTAAGGCATAAAATAATACCTCTTCCTCAAATAACAGAGAATAAGGGATTTTTTTTAAAACTGCTGTTAACTCAGTTATGTACTTTCTAGTATACAATTAGTATATAACCTGACAGTG